TATTGATAGAGGTGGCAAGCTTTGAATTGTATGACGCAGAGGTGGAGATAGTGGGTGAATGAAAGAGAAGAGGAATAGAAAAAGGCCGGCAATGCCATAGATGTGTATAAGGATGGCAAACGTATATGTTAGACATTATTAGTCCTGAATCACTACAATATATGTGCCGCCCATTCTCACCATAAAAATGAATACCACATGATGTCATATTCTTATTTTTTTTCCTTTTGCGAGTGAGATGCTGCTCTTCTATTCGATGCTCACTCTCTTGAACCCATAGCCTCGAGCATGATGGGGGAATGGTCTGCCCTTAGCTGCCAAATACATTTCTTATTATTTTCTTAGGAATTACAACAGTCATTAGTAGTATTTGTTTTCATTGTCATGTGGCAACGCATGGTCATTTAGCTAGTGTAGCACTAGACGTAGGGTCCACTAAACCAGTGGCTTTTATTTTTACATTAAACGGTAGGAAAATTTCTACTGCACCTTTAATATTATACAAGCATAACTAAGGAGTCTTTACAGAGTTTGTAGATGATTACGAACTTGAGTGGCACTATACTTTTATTTTTGGTAACAATTACTCATAATGTTTGATTGAAAATAGAATAGGAACACTGATTTGTTAGGAGGAGAGCCAACATGTACTCAAGTGTTCCTTTTTTTTACTATGAGAATAGATAAAGTGTGCCCACAAGTATTTTTTAAGATAGAGAGAGGATAGATCCATTAGATAGAGTGAAACTTTAAGAGGTGAAAATTTGAGCAATACACAAGTAAAAAAAATATTCCCCTGATTAATTAAGTTCTTTCCTCACAAAATACTACACGAGCAAATGTCGTAAAAAACGAGCCAACAAATAAATCAAAAGGCTTCAAGCATGCGAATGTGGAAGAAAAGCTATCATCTACAACTACTTCAAAGCAGGGAACTCGTTGATGTCGTATAGGCTCGGTGGCGGCGGAGGAGCCTGCCCAGCAGACGGCGGCACCTCGACACCTTGTGCAGGGGCGGCCTTGTTCACCGACATGGTGGGTTGCTGCCTCTTTGAGGCTTCATTTAGAAACATTATAACTGCGCACTCTAGGAGGCTTCTCACGCCCTCAGGATATTGGACCATTTGATCTATTCCCGGGCGTTTTTTGGTCGTTGGATCAGCTTCTCTGTGAAACACTTCCCGCAGCTGGGCTTGACCCTCTGATCGGCATCTCCAATGGGCCGCTGCTCCTGGAACAAAATTGGCGTTCTCTTATTAATTGGGGCCTTTGGGTGCGGGGGGTATGACTGAAAAATAGCGTGCGGGCCTAGCATTTGACAAAGCCCATCGAGCAACTCAACCGTTACTGGAGATGGCGATCGGTATGCTCAGAAGGAAAAAAACATCCAGTCCAATCTAAGAGAGAGATGGCGATCGAGCGAACGGAAGATCGCCCTCTTCATCGGCCGGACAACGTGGAGCGAAGCAATGCGGGAGAGAGGATGTGGATCTCCTCGCACACCTCGGCAACTGAAGCGGTAGAAACGTGCGAAAGGGACCGCAGAATCAGATCGATGGCCGATCTGCCGGCATTGAAGAAAGCATTCAAGTATCAGTTCATGGTAGCCTTCATAGCGGTTGATGTCCGCCACTCGCGGTGTTGATTAGTGGAGGTACGTTATTGCTTTGGCAGCCTACACCTGCTTGAGTTCGTGCGCCTGTTTAATACATATATAATTATATATCCGTCGCTCCGTGCTCTCCCGTTGTTCGGGCAGCAGAACCAAACATCTTCTCCACCAACCATGTGGCCTTCTCACTATGGGTTCTCATCATTATTTCAAGCTTCCTCTTATGCAGATCCGTCCATGTCAATCTGGCATCCTTCTGTCTTCTCCCTCGTTTGAGATTTCTCTTGATGCGCTTTCTAATAATCTCTTGAGAGAGTATTACCATTAGGGCCTGTCAAGTGTTTGATACCACTCTACTTGTTTTGGGAGATCGAATCTGTTTTTGGACTGTCCTTCAAGTCCAGGTTACACCTTCCCCTCTGCCCCTTTTAAATCTCTCTTTGGGTTCAGGTTGATGTGAGTTGAGGTAGTTCTGATAGCAGTTGGCGTGGACCAATTAACAGGCACTACAGCTACTATTTGCTATTTCCATGCACTTTTTTTTAAATAATATTAGTTACTTGATGAATCATGTGGTTATTCAGGTTATGGCTTGTGAAAGGAAAATATTGAGCGTGCTACTGAACATAAAGCAGGTGAGAATTCTCTACTATATTGACATTTACACCTAAAATAGCTTATGAACTGATTCAGGTACAGTTGAAAATTCCGTGAAATGTCACCATGGGTGAGAATAGCTACTGCATAAAAAATGCACAGCCACTGAAAATGCATATACATTTGTAATGCTCAATTATTGTTACTGTAGAGTTAGCCGAGATTAGACAGTAGATTACACATTAGCAATGTGTAGCTATCTGCTCAAAGAATATTACTCCATCTGAAACTATTACTAGAAGTATATGCTTTTTCTGACAGAGGTCAAAGACATATTTTGGTCTTTAAAAAAACATATTATGGTCATACTAATCTATTTGCATCGTATTCTTCTACATGTCATGAGACAAATGTTTTCTTTTTGCCATATAAAATTTATTTTCATTCTACTAATATGTGTTAATGTTATATGAAAATTTTAGCCTCATATGGTGCATTATTATGCCATCCTGTGTCCAGTATGTGACCGGTGATAGTTATCATCTTTTTTATTATATATTCTGAGTTTCTGACTATATTGTCCATCTTGCAAATGATATTACCTGCTCTATTGGACTTTCTCTCCTGATTGTGAGCTTTACTTTTCTGTACGTGGTGCAAGGTGATCAACTGCTGATCGGTAGAAAATCCAGTTTGGATCTTAATTGACTCGTGGGACGGTGGGAGTCACCCCTTTCCCATGATGACCTATTTTGGACAGCCTCCTTACGTATCATATGGAGCTGCTAATACTAAATGGAAGAACTTGTGGCTACAGATCGACACGGCTCCTTGTACCACATATGTTAGTGTCATTTGATTTCCAACCTAATTAAATTCCTTCTTTAGGAATCTTCGTCCATGGATGTAATGCTCTCAACAATCGAGCAGATTGTTTATTATTTTTTGCTGTTGAAGATGGCTGTCATTCGGGTATAAACCAGTGAGGATTTCATGGGCACGCCATGCTTAAAATCAACATTTAAACTTTTTTAAAATTACATGTACATGTTTGTTTTCTGCTGTTGATTGTCATCTTATTAGCAGTTTCTTTTAGTGATACTAGATTGGTGTGTATGTTTTCATAACAATCCAATTTGTATTGACCACTTACGAACTGACTGATGGTACTAATTCAGCCAAAATCAATAAAACTCATATCTCCTCTGCCAACAAATAGTTAAATACAAATAGGTAATATAAATAAATTGGGATTATGTAGGTCGCAAAAACTCCCTTCCAATACATTTATCAAGTACCCATTAAGAGTCTACATTAAAGGCACGGCCAGCAAGTCCAAACTTGAATCAACTTCCAAGTCCATCAGACACAAGAAAAATCCCAGCTCTCCTCTACTACCACATTACATTTTGCAAAAAGTTAGGTCTAAGGTAACTGAGTAATGTAACGGTCGAGTTTTTGCAAATTTAAGTTTCATTTTTCTTTTGCCCCTATGGCCCTGTATACAAATATAATATTATGTAACTGCCAAAATAGACGGGTGCGGCAACGCGCACCGGCGATGATCTAGTTCCTGCTAAATCTATCCGACATGCCAAGTTGCTGCTTCCTCTTCATTGTTGTGATAATATCCACCTAGCTTTGCTCTGTGCTGCACCTTGTTGCCATCACTGGAGGCTCCACTGTTCGCCTTCGCCTCCGCCCTGGCCTTGGCCCTCGCAATTCTCTTGAGTTGTTGCTTCCTCATTATGTAATCGCGTGCAGAAGGGTAGGCGTTGCCGAACAGATCCTTGGCAAGATTAGCAGCCGGCGCCGCCTTCTTCTTGTGGCGGCTGGCCGCCGCCACCTCTTCTCTGGTGTTGGAGTTGTCGAAGCCGGCCATGAGTTTGTCGCCGGGACCGTTTCCGTTACGAAGTAACTGTAGGCACCTCGTTGTCAACGGGAACGTCTCCTCCCAAAGCAGGCGCTGCCTCCCGGGCCGGCCCAGCAGCGTTTCTGTGCGCTCCGGTTTTCTGGCTTTTTTCGTTTTTTCTTTTGGTTTTTGGGGGTTTTGATCGATTTTTCTTCTCCTTTTTTATTTTATTCCAGATTATTTGAGTTTTTTGGTGGGTTCTGTCCTTTGCATCCGTGTAATTGTTCGATGCAATGCACATATGAGGCCATATGTAACATATTCATGTACTTTTTATTTATACCATATATTGTGTTTATATTTGAATTTGAATTTTGAAAAGATTTCTTTTAACCGAGTTAAACCCCTTTCAAGCAAACGGAAATTACATCAGTTCCAGAGACACACAGGGATGGGAAATCTCGAAAAGATTTAAAATTGCGTGGGGGTTGGATCAACAAGGTTTGAATTAATATGATGTTATATGCAGAAGGCGTGAGAAATAATTTAATGTTATATATATATATATATATATATATATATATAAGTCAGGAAAATAGCAACGGGATGATCGGGTCTTCAAACAACAATCGATTTAACCTACCACTAACAGTTTAACCGTGAACTCCTTGACAGTACTTGTCCTAATGCTTCAGTCTGGCATTTGTTGCATCCATTAAGTCGGATTGAAGGATGTACTAGATTTTGGAATTCCTTTTCTAACAGACCTTTCGGATTTGGTCTGGCATGCTTGTTGTACGTACGGCTGGGTGTGCACAACCATCCTCAGTCATACTTGTTGGCGGTCCTGAGCAACACATCAGAGAGTTCCCTGGGCTTGGAGCACATAGCCATGTGGTCGGCTCCGGCGAGCTCCTCGGCTTCTGTGCCAGGGCTCAGGTCGACCATCCAGCGCTGCATCTCCTCGGAGGTGGAAGCGTCGTCCTTGAGCACCACGTACACCTTCTTCACCGACCCGTAGTTGGCGTCGGTGAGCAGAGCCTCGTCCCTCATCAACGGATCGTCCACGAACTGGCAGCCCGGCCTCACCAGCAACGTGGCCAGCGTCAGGTCCTGCGTCCATGTTTTGAGTATGATGGTACTAGAATGGTTGTTTGTTGGTTCAATAGTTCACATGAATAGCAAAGATTTTCTTTGTTATGTTGGTATATTACCTCGACTGAGCTTCGATCGTACAATTTCGCTGCCAACAATTTGGGGCCAAGCGCGACGGCAGGCCGAGGGCCTTGATCTGTGTTCAGAACCATGATCTTGCTGTCCATGAAAAAATCGGCTGGGGTTCTTCTGGAGAACTATCAACAGTCGCGAGAAATTAGCCATGATTGTCCACATCTGAGCTCTGGAAAAATGGCCATGTGAGCTCATCGAGGGCCTTGAGCTTGATTCTGGGAGGGTTAGCCTACCTCCTCGACGGTGACGCCCATGTGCCTGCCGGCGCACGCCATGCACGCGGCGAGGAACACGGCCGCGGCGACCTTGCGCGGGAATCTCTCCATGGCGAGCGCGAGGTTGAGCCCGCCGAGGCTGTGCCCGACCAGGACCAGCCTCTCGCCTGCCGGTGCCGCGGCGACGGCGTCGAGCAGCGGCCGCGAGTAGTCCTCGAAGGACTCCACCTCGTCCATGCGCGCCGGGTGCGCACCGGACGCCGCCATGTCCAGCGCGGTGACGCGGTGCCCCGCGGCGCGGAGCATCGGCACCAGCTTGTACCAGCACCACGCGCCGTGGCAGAGGCCGTGGACGAGGATGAAGTGCCTGCCGCCGCCGCTCCCCACCATCGGATTTCACCTCAGCTCCTGCCTGCAGCTTGCAGATATCTTTGGCGAGGGAATCTTGTCACCAGTACACTATGTAGTAGCCAATCATGGTTTCATGTTCCTGTAGCCAACCTGAGTGAATTATCACTTTTCCAGGTGAGGAGTCGACATCATTCGGAGCTCTTATTCCCACTCATGTCCACCTAACAATTTTGTCCATATCCATTTAAAAAATATATTTTTAGATTGACACATTGATGACAATGTTGTTGCCTTCTTATTATATTTTGCTAAAGAATACTTTGCAGCTTTAAGCAAGTGGTTTTCAGAATCTGACTGCATCCATTGGCTCATGGCAAACAACATTTCTATCCTATGAACCAAAGAAGGCCTAAAAGTCTTTTTTGATACAAAGGAATAGAAAAAAGAGTGGTCATCCCTTTTTAAATAGTCGCTCTTTGTTTCCGAAAACATTTCAATCGGTCGCTTTCTTTCCTCACCATTAGGTCAACATCCAAAGGAACTGGATTCATTTCCTCCTTGAGCCAATCGTAACAAACCTGCGTGAATTAACGTTTTTCAGGTGAGGAGTCGACATTAGTCGCAGCTCTGATTCCAACTCATGTCCACCTCACAATTTTTTGTTCATATCCCTTTAAAAATATTTTGGGCACATAGGAGACCAACCCCCGACCCCATGCCCCAACCCAACTACTTTTTGCATCATCGATGTTGCCTTGTTAGGGGTGTGGGAGATAAGTAAAAGTCATAATCGGTGTTGGACGATTTTGTCAGAGGTGGTGCTTGCAGGTGTGTCGTGTTCCTTCCTCAAGGTGTTATTATAGTCCTATGCTCCTCTGCTTGGTTAATGGTGAAAACCCTACTCTGGCTCTTCATATGGACGACAAATATGTCTTAGTGTCACATGCATGTTGCTTAAATTGCACTGCGATATAGTAGTATGTCGGTGAGTCATGGTTTTGCCCATGGCCTCGAGAGGAGCATTGTATCATTTGGGTGTCCGCTTTGGAAGGCAATTAGATGGCACGATACGAGTGGCTTGCACGCTCGAGATATTGTTGTTGTTTGGACATGGACGACTCCCAGCTCTGCCCTTCTATTATGTAGGTTGGCCTTCTTATTCTATTTGAGGCTAACACACGCTTCGTTTGCACTTGCATAGTTCTTCACTCATGGGATTTACTCTTTTTTTTCTAGCATATTATTATGGTCGGTACTTTCGTTCAGGTTTTATCAATATTAGCTTGGACTTTAATTATGTTTTGGCGGTGTTTTTTAATAATTTGTATATCGTGTTAGGCTATTGAAGGCGGCATTTATTATGAGAGGATGGTGTCGTTGCTAGGTGCATGGTTCTGGTGTCCTTGAACGTTTTGGCCTTGGTGTCAGCCAGTGATGGTTGTGTAATCCACTTGGGAGCTCTTATTCCATGTTGAAACTGTGAAATTGCTACTATAATACTCACATGGTGACTGATAAAGTTCATGCTCCATCAGCTCGGCTCCTTCTTCCCTCGCTCGCTCACTAGCTTAGCTTTTCTTTTAGCTCGTCCACTGCTAGCTCAGAAAAAGCCGTCTATCATGTTTTTTATTTGAAGTTCATTAAATCAGAAGAAGTTCACCTATTTTTAAAAAGTTTGTGAATTTAAAAACACCAACATTTAAAAAATGCTCATGCATTTAAATTATTTGTGGATTTCAAAATGTTCATGAATTTGAAAAAGGTGTACAAATTTAAAAATGTTCATGAAATTCCAAAAAACATGAATTCTAAAATGTACATCTTTTAAAATGTTCACAAATTATAATAAATATACATGAGTTAAAATATGGAAAAGGGAAAACATGAAACATGCATGATTTTTTTTGAAATATTAAAATTGATAAAATATAAAAAAGAAAAAAATACATGCAATACCTTCTCAAAACCAAAAAAAAGGGTGATCCGGCGACACACACCCTTACAGGCGGGGCCCATAACATCCCCCACAGCTCTCGACATACCAGAACGTTCCAAATCAGGAGCTTAGTATCATGATAGATGTCACTAGTCTGCCCACAAATGAGGCATATCTTGGCTTTGCTGGCATTACCTAACCATGGGAGTGGTCGTCGAACTCGTGTGGTTTGCATTTGTTTGTAATATTGGTTGGACAGAGGCTCTAGCACTATGATAGGTTATGTGTTGCGTTTTACTTATCCTATATCAATAAAATGGGAAAACCTTTGCCTTATTTAAAAGTAGACATTGTCACCATAGTTTAAAGAAAAAAACTTACAACAGTGAGGCCGTGATCGATGGTTTTTCGGTTCCGTTGAATTTTGAAAATGTAAGAATATTCTGTAGACGTCCTAGTAGATTGCCAAGACCAACAGATCGCCAGTCTAAAATTTTCGTTGCACCACCCCTGTCTTCTCTGATTTGCCCAAAAATTGTATGTCCAACCACAAAGTTTTCATCTGCTTCTTTCTAAGGTCAACTGGCCATAACAGATCAGACAAGGCATCAGAACCATTTTTTTGTCATGTCGTTGGTTCAGCTAGGTTTTCTAACCTATGGTCGGCAAACCACCCATCTTCGGTTTTCCATCCTATGGTCGGTATGCCAATGATGAGCATCACCAATAGTCTGCATGGAAAGTTTCTGTGAACCCGCCTCCAACACGATGATGATGTTGATGATGTCGCCCCCACAAAGTGGATTAAGCATTTCTGTGCATTTATTTCTATAACTATACCACTATATAATGTATGAATAATTTGGAAAAACAACCATTGGATGAAGCCGATCCAATGGTAGACAGATGGCAGTTGTGAGTGTTGTTGGCCGGCGGATTTCCTCGTTGCTGCACAATATTCTACCACGTGTACTATCTAAAAAATTCGATGGTTGGGCTTAAGTCCTATGGACATTTTGCACGAAACTTAAAACACACTTCTATTTTGTTCTAGACTCTTCCATAGTATACTATCCTAACTTCTTTTTCTACCAAAACTATCAATCATTTTTACTTTGTGATTTCTTTTCTTTGTGTTAAAGTCTATCGATGTACCCTCATAAATCGTATCTATCTTTGCAGATGGAGAAGTAGTTGTTCTTTTTATTTTCTATTGAAAAGTGCAATATAAGATACCCTAAAAGACACCTAAATAATACATCTTCGGTATATTTTACCCGAGTTTTGCATCTTATACTTCATGCATATGCCTCAAAATTTTCATTTGCCTATTATAATGCAGTAACAACATTGCCAATCTTTGGCTGTAATTTGATCATTTGAGCTCACAAGTGCAACGAATTGTTTAACTTACTAATTTTTACAAGTGGAGAGGATCTCAACAAGGAGATAAGCAACAACCGAAGTATCATGGGCATCGTGGTCAATAATCCCTGACCAAATATTTTTGGTTTGTTCAAACCTCAAACTTCTAGGCACTCTATTCATCACTAGGGCCAACCGGCACCATTTTAGAACCGCACACAAACAATCACAACAATGAGAATGTATATGAGACTGGGATTCAAAACTTACCCAACTTCGTTATGACTGGCATGTGGGCCCACAACAAGCTGACCCACACTTTAGTCTTACAAAGTTAGGTGGGTTTTCGTGAGTCAACTTTAACTTAAGGATTCCATGTGCATTCAAATATCAAGAGTACAACTGGCCATACATGCAGCATTTCAGTACACGTGTAACAGGACAATTACAGAAGAAAATACCACCCAAAATAAAGAAACTACAGTGCAATCCTTAGATTTTTCCTACCATTTTCACCTTCCTGCAAAGAATGCATGTTATGTGGAACTTAGTAACTCCCTTCGCAGAGCTTACTATAACTCGTTGGCTATGGATCTCAGTAGGATCACTTGCGAACAAATGCCAATCGCCCCATACAAATTTTGTTGCTAGATCTTTTGAATTATCAGGGCTCTTTCTCGCCCGTTGTGATACCTAACTAGGTCTCGCCTATCGTTAGGCCGGCCCAGTACTGTGGCGCCTCTAGCTTGAGTTATTTTTCTTTTTATACTATGTGTTTTCCTTATCATTTTTCTATTTTTCTTTGTTTCTTCACCGATTTTCTATGGTCTTTTCCTACTTATTTTTCTTTTTCACTACACATGTCTACTTTTTTCAGTACACATGTGGAACATTTTTCCGGCACACTTTGGACATGTTTGAAATACACAATTTACTTTTTTTTCCAAATACTTGTTTTGGTCATTCTTTCGAATACATGATAAAGAAAATACACGTCATACACTTTTTAATGGCATGAAACTTTTTTTAAACTGCCAGAACATGTTTTACATTTTTTTGAAAAATGTTACGAACATTTTTTAAAATGTGTGATTGTATTTCTTTAATATGTCACGTATATTTTTATGAATGGTGCTTAAAATAAATTACAGCTTGGATGATTATTTACATCGTATGAATAATTTAAAATGGCATGATACATTTTTTTAAACATGTGAAGAGTTTTGAAATGTCACATATATTTTTTGAACTATGTAAACATCTCTTTTGACATTGTATAAACATTTCCTTTAATGTCGAGAACATTTTTTCTAATGCTGTCGACATTTGTAAAGGTTGCGCGATCATTTTTTACATTGCATGAACATTTTATAAATGAATGTTTAACTTTTTAAGATTTAGATCAAATACGTATACATTTCAGAAATAAATAAATAAAGTAATAAACCGAAATATGTGCCCTAGGAGCCAGCCCACCCTGATAGGCCATTTAGGGGGTTGGTGGCTGAGGGCAAGGGGTTCTTTCATCTCGCTATAATCGAGACAAAGCACCAGCCCTTTTCAAATCCCCTTTCCGGCAAACATTTTTGCTGATCAATAAAGCCTAGCAAGCTTTTCTCAAAAAAGAAATGTGTTGGGAAACAATGCGGGCATGTTAAGATATGTAGGACGCAACAGAGCTTTGCATGGATCGTGACACGCGATCGACAGTCAGAAATCTGACAGAGATGAAGAAATGTTTTTCGTTGACACAACTTTTGAATTCAGTCTGGCATGTATGGCAAGCCTTTATAGATAAAGAAGGGCGAACGCAAACCTCACAGACGGATGTGCACAACCACAAAACATCGCCTACTAAGAAAAGAAGTAGTAACAAACAACAAAGTTTTTCTTAAAAGGTGTACTCCATCTTATGGTACGGAGTGTTAAAAACGCTTTTGTATCTTTCTTTAATATACGATACGCATGCTTGTGCGTATTTGAGAAAAAAAATGTATTATAGGACCAACTTAACTCTCAGCGAAGATATTACGTTGTACAAGTCGCAACTGTGTGGACAATCAATTCATTCATACTTGTCGGCGATCCGGAGCAGGACACCAGAGAGCTCCCTGGGTTCGGAGCACATGGCCATGTGGTCGGCTCCGGCGATCTCCTCGGCCTCCGTGCCAGGGTTCAGGTCGTCGACCATCCAGCGCTGCATCGCCTCGGAGTTTGAGGCGTCGGCCATGGCCACCACGTACACCTTCTTCACCGACCCGTAGTTGGCGTCGGTGAGCAGCGCCTCGTCCTTCATCGTGGGGTCATCCAGGAACTGGCACCCCGGTCTCACCAGCATCGTAGCCAGCGTCTGATCCTGCATGCCGTACGTAAAACCACTGTCAGCATCGTAAATAACATTTGTGACGGGAAAGAATGGATTCTTGCTATCACCTCAGCTGAGCTTCGATCGTACAGCTTTGCTGCCAATAATTTTGGGCCAAACACGAGTGCAGGTCGAGGGCCCTGGCTCGTGTTCAGAGCCATCCTCTTCATGTCCATGAAGAAATCCGGCTTGATCCGTCTCATGATCTAGCGAGAATCGCAGGAAATCAGCATGGTCACCGTGGTGGATCGATTACGATGCAGCTCCTCTGACTTCTGAGCTGTGTAAAATTACTCACCTCCTCCGTGGTGGCGCCCATGTGCCTGCCGACGCACGGCATGCACGCGGCCAGGAACACGGCCGCGGCGACCTTGCACGGGAACCTCTCCATGGCGAGCGCGATGTTGAGCCCGCCGAGGCTGTGCCCGACCAGGACCAGCCTCTCGCCGGCCGGCGCCGCGGCCACGGCGTCGAGCAGCGGCCGCGAGTAGTCCTCGAAGGACGCCACCTCGTCCATGCGGGCCGGGTGCGCGCCGGACGCGGCCATGTCGAGCGCGGTGACCCGGTGCCCGGCGGCGCGGAGCATCGGCACCAGCTTGTACCAGCACCACGCGCCGTGGCAGAGGCCGTGGACGAGCATGAAGTGCTTGCCGCTGCTGCTCCCCTCCATCAGGTTTCACCTCCGGCAAGAGTTCGACTGGCTATGCCGCCGCCGGCGAGCGGCCTGCAGATATCTTTGCCGAGGGTATCTCACCAGCATGGGCACATGGCAATCAGTTTCAGTCAAAAGCGAAAGCAGATTTGGATACGGCAGCCGATGGAGTCATCAGTCCACCTTACAATTCTGTCCGCATTTCCTTCATAAAATACTCCACTTAGTTTATAGATTGGCACATGACCACGTTGTGGTGGCCTTTTTACGATCTTTTGCTTGAGAATATTTTGAAACTTTATGCTAAATGAACACGCGAGTTTCAGAATTCGAGGTGTTTTCAATCAATCCAAATGCAACAAATATGAAAGTGCGACTTCCTTTGTCGATCTTCTCAAAATGAAAGCAAACGATTTGTCTTAGCCCGTTGAATGGAGATTGAATCACTGACATAAGCACAAATAAACACAAACTTCTTTTTTCGCGGGTGAAAAAATTGTATTGCTTACTCACAATGTCCTTACAATCCTCAATCACCAAGTCGATGACCATAGAAGGGCCTGAACCAATCCACGTCATGGTTTTGCCTTCGGTTCTACCAAAACTAGCCAGACAATCACTAGCCTTATTCTGATTATGATTTACATGAGTAATACAAGTTTCTCGAAGACTTGACAAATACTCCCTTCATAAACTAATATAAGAGTGTTTAGATCACACAGAGGGAATACAAGTTTTTGACTAGTGTAGTGTCAAAAACACTCTTATATCATGAGACGGAGTACTTGATTTCCTTCACCAGAGATGCATAGACGGATCTATCTTCTTCGCGCTTCTCGATCATGCCAACCGCAGTTAGCGAGTCCATCTCAATAACAATTGGTGAGTCACTTCTCTGTACAGCAAGAGGTGGGCCTTCTATGCATGCACAAAGTTCCGCCTCCAACGCATCAGACAAGCAAACAATTGTCTACATGCAGAAAAGATAACGACTCCTGCTTCATTACGGAAGATCATACCTGTCCCAGCTGAACCGTCTTCTGTAAATGAGCCGTCTGTATTCAGCTTGACCCAGCCGCGCCCCTGTGGAGTCCAGGCAAGGGTGAGACCACAGGGCCAGCTCAACGCACCTTTGGCTCATATTGCAAAATCGACTTCCCTTTCCTACGGTCAGTATGCATGTTTGACTTAATTCAAATGAGAGAGTCCAAGTAGTGCTACAAGAACCTACATGATACCATTAGTGGGACAGGTTTCATATGCACAACATCATTCTGGATGTACCAGCACCTCCAGAAAGTCATTAGTACCATACAAACTTACACACGCAACCAACAAAAGGCTCCAACGGAGCCATCCAAACGTGCCACCAAATATCACCCCAACAATGCTAGGCTTATGGACTTTTGCTAGGGACTATGGTTAATTATTGACTCCATTCAAGTCATCGAGGATGCCTTGTGTCGAATGTTATTATACAAGGTAGGTTACAATTGAATTTGAACTCATACGGTGTGTAGACAGGATATGGAATCGGCACCGACACGCAGGGGAGCACGCGGTGTGTACCGATGGCCAGGATGCGGTATTGTGACGGTGTCACGGGGAGGAGAGCCCGTAGTCAGGCCCCGGAGATGTAATCATATCGGTAACCTCGTTAACAAATCTCGGTTTCTAGCTCATGTGATTGCTTGGTCCTCGATAAATCAATTATGCATCTCAGATTTATTCTAACAAATGGAATCTAACATGACTAATTGTAGGGCCGGGAGTTGCCCATGTGAACTGCTTCGCTCTTTTTCGGACACATTACATTGTTCCAAGATGTTTTTGCTGGAGGTAATAGCACCTCAGGTACCCTAACTTGCACACAATGTGATGATTTAGTCCCAAAGTTGCAAAGTGCAACTCCATCATACCCCAACTTACAGTGGGTGTGATGATTTAGTCCCCGGCCTATCATAGCTCGACAAGTGGTAGCCAGGTGGTTGAACCAGTCATCGCCCGCACTTTTGCAAATAACACCCTGCAGTCTTCTCTAATTAACCTGCAGTACAACCTTTTTGGGAGGGAGCATGGAGGTGGTAAATACCGAAATGGATGTGTCAAAAATGAGCACACTGATGCATGCAGACGATCGGTGATAAATACACAAAGTATTGAACAAATCAAAGATCAAACCCGGTCCGATCAAAATGTGTGTTGGGAAATAGAGAAGATGAAGTTAATTACATTCTTGGCAGCTGCGCTGAAAGCCTCCCTGTGGGTGATGTCCGGATTGTTGGCCTTGATACGCTGAATCTCGTCTCTGCATACGTACATAGAAAATCATGCATCATGCATACGAATTTTGCTAGAGAGAAGATTCAAGCTAAAACGGGGAACTAGAATGAACCACTGATCACTCACTTGATGAATCGGTTGTATGCCGAGGGAACTCTCTGCCGCTTCTCTGGATCTGCAGAAAATCACGGCAAGCAGCATGAAATTAAGGGCATAAACTTGGCAGCTCCAGCACGGATCAAGGAGAAAAATCAGACAAGTGCAACCTGTTGGCCGTTTGGTACTCCTACAGTCGTATATATACGGAACCTACAGAACTGATTATGTTTCTCATTCCTAATGCCCTCTGCATTTATTTAGTTTAGTTCTCCTATGCCTATAATATCACACACTGTGCATATGTTAACGTTGGAGTTTGGGGAAAAAATTCCTCCACGGACAAATGGTACTATTCGGCCCGGGAGCAAATCATTCAACATGTCTCTTCCACTCGAAAACTCCGACCGCCCAGAAAGAATCCTTAAAAGAGAGACACAATGCATAAAGAGGGAGCCAACGACCCAAAGAGATGTATACTGCTCGAATTTGGTTAGCAGTACAGCGTGCACTGTAATTTGAGGGCAATTTGGGGATATTAATTTTCAGCTAATCAGACAGATTAAGGCTACCCCTTTCATCTGGTTTCGCCGTCCGCATGCATCCTCTTCCTCCGCAAGCCCATCTCCCGTCCCTTCCTCGCCCAGCCTGGCTCGTAGACCAGGCGCTCGGCAGCATGTCACAGGTCTCGCCGACGTCTCCTACCTACACCGTTGTGGCGTTGTCCTCTTCCTTGCTAGGCCATATGTCAAGCAATGGCTTACGCTGCTCATGGTGGCCTGGTTCATGGCGGTGGTGGCGAAATCACCGGACACCACTGGCGAGCTGTCCGCCATTGACAAGAAGGTCATACAGAAATACGTAATCCTCGCCACGGCTCCCAGGCAGCAGGGCGTAGACGACAGAGGCTCACGGTCATGGACAGTTTAGCGTTCACCTTTGTAGAGTTGGCCATGTCCAATGCAAATTCATGTTTTAAATTGTACGTATATTGGTTCAAGCTGTTGCCTATTCCAGTGATGGCTCGGTTATTTCCTAGCATCTGAAGAAAGTTTTAACGTCACTCAATTTCTAAGATGCAATCATACTAGATAAGCCAAGCATGGATAACTGAACTTCTAATCCATAACAAGGCAGCAGACGGTCGAGGCCTGCCGCAAGGTCACGGGTGCGCGAGCCTGAAGGTCTACAAGAGGAGCATGGACGAAGCGAACTAACGCAGCGACAGCGGCCGAGGGCAGATGGACGACCGGTGGGGCGTGCAATATCGAGGACGGCGCGTCGGGGTTGAGGTGGAGCTTGGCTGCTAGGGCGACGGCGGGAGGTGAGATTGCCGGCAAATTTGACTATTTTGACCTGTGGACGAAATCAATTCACAAAATGAACTGCCAGTGAAATAATTTCACACCCCTGACCTTTTTGTGCAGCGCCCGCCACGACGGCACCACACCCTATGGTGCAGCGCCTAGCTCGGGGGCGTTGCACTTCAGTCCACCGTGGCAGCCCCTGGGCCCGCACCCAGCAGTGCAGCGCCTCCGAGCTAGGCGCTGCACCGTAATGTGCAGCGCCCGGCCCGCAGGCACTGCATTGTGACTTAGATGCCAGCCGCCCG